TCTAACACGGGTACAGTGACTGCCGGAAGGGAATCTTCGTCTTTTTCGTGGTTATTTTTCTCTTGAATAGCACCCCAGCCGGGCTATCCATGTCGTTTCGTTGTTCCCCTTAGCCATGTTATGGGCAGAATTTACTTTTAGCTTGCCTCTTATCCCGTCACTCTTGTATCACCACCCATCACACTGACCACTACAGGCTTTTCACAGATTCCGTTTGGCCTCCATATAGCTGTCATTCATGAGGTACCGGACCTAAAAATGAAGGACTAGTTGAGCATGTTTTTGCGATCACAGTGCCCTTTACGTGCCACACCTAGTTCAGATTACAGTTTCCGTGAGGCGCTAGATACCACTTTCTATTGGCTATCCTAGTTTTGACCAACCTCACAAGTTTAAGTACAATCAGCTCCGTCATGGGCCACCATCACAAGCAGTGAGGTCTGCTTCTCATACCCTCCTTTCCATAGGTACAGCCTAAATCCCAAGCCCTGATAGACAAACAAAAAATAAGTCTAACAGACTTTGGTCCCCTGTCCTGCTGATAACCCTGCTGAATTTACTAAACTGTCATTCTTGACCCACGCGAACATCAACACCCGATTTGCAACAGTGATACGAAGTGTGCGCACACGTATAGGCAGCTCGGTTTGGCGTCGGACGTAGCTGATCCCGGCTTTTAGTGTTCAATTAATAAAGTACCCGGTCCTTTAGTTCGATTTCGCGCACTCTTATCCATGTTTCTAAGAGTTATATGTTGTATCGCTGTCCATCCGGGATGATATCTTTGGTGCATCGAGCGAGGAATAAAACCGGTGCCCGTAAATTTCCGTTCAGCCATAATACGAACCTCTCCAGGTACGCCACCAAACGACCAGAGTCCACGAGTGTCTAACTTCAATACGTGTACAAATAATGCAACCAATCAGAATTGTGTTTCATGTAAATGTCCCAAACATGTTGAGCCTACTGGGTTATCGTTCTCATTGCGTTCTTAATTGTTTCCTCTTGCAAATTTGTGAAAACTGTTCAACCTATTTACAGGGTTCACATTTGTTGCTTTGTTGATTTTTTTCACGCCAACGTAGTAGTTGCGTAATGCCCTCTGTCAGCTTACACTCAGTTTCTGCGGTACACTCAGTCTCATTTATGACCCAGATCAATGCAGCCTTCTTTCTACAACCACCGATGAACCAAAGCAGATGTGGTCGAATTGGGTGTCAATCGAATTTTAGACATGGTATGCAATTCGATACCTGCAGGGCCTTGTGGGTTTACGGGTTTACAGGACAACCAGATAAGATAACTAGCTAACTCTCCTGCCCGTTTGTCTGCGCCGGCCCCCTCAAGGGTACGATGTTTCTAAAAACAAAACGTCCGAATGAAAGTAGGTTTTACCCACTCTCCTCCGGCGCCGGTCACCATTGGAGTTCATCATGGTTTCTGTTTGGACTCATTGATATTTCTGACATACGTCAACGACCTGCTAGATATTCTTGCAAGTTCATGCCTACTTTTTGCGGACGACTTGAAATCCTGGATTGCTAATGCCATCGCCCTTTAAATGGATGCAGACGCTGTAAAGCAGTGGTCGCTGGAATGGCACATACCTCAGAGTGACGAAAAGTACGTCCATTGGTTATTCGCAGGCGACTCAGCAAACGATTGTGCGCATGACGAGAATAGGCCGGAAGACATCACAAGAATGGATGCCAAAAAGGAGATGGGTATCTTATTCTCTTCAAACATGTCCCCAGTGCGCCACAAGAGATCGGTTCACATTCTACGGGTGATTCGGCACATTTTATCCCGTATTACTCGGATGGACTTCCAAATACGCTATGAGGCCTACGTCAGATCGCTACTTGTATATGCCAACCAAGCTGTTCACCCAGGACTCACGAAGGACTTAACCTTTGTAGTGGTCTGGCTACCCAATAAGTTCCAAATACTGAGGCCTACGTCAGATCGCTACTTGTATATGCCAACCAAGCTGTTCACCCAGGACTCACGAAGGACTTAACCTTTGTAGGTAGTTGGCTACCCAATAAGTTAGTTTACCAGGAGTGTGTGGCAAAGAAATAAAAATGATTACGCTAGGTTGGGTATACAAAAATAAAGAGATCAGATGGAACAGACTCACTAACAATTGTTCCCTGTAAAATAGTTCGTCGTTGGCCCAGGTCAGCGAATAAACAATAATCCAATTATGTTGGTCCAAAGGTCTTCTTCTGAACAGTTCCCACATATGATAGATTCCGAAGATGTCTGAAATGTTTTGGTACCAGAGTTAGTACATGAGACTCGCGAATGACCGCTGCAAGCGCGAGCGAAATCAGAAGAGAGAGCCGAAGCACGTGACCACGCTTGTATTCTGTGAAATTGCACAAGTGCGCGTTTTTTCGTAGTTTTTCGTCTTCAAACAAAAAACGATTATGCAATTGATGAAATAC